ACTACTCTACGGCTGGTTGATATGGAGTCAGCATATTTGACTGTGGAGTTCTTCCGCAAGCTCCCACAGGAAGTTGATAAGACTGGAACTGGAAATCCCAGGACTGCAAACCCTCCTGCTCCTTCGGATGATCGTTACACTGATGCACATTTCAGGAGGATTGCTTCTAATGTGTCCTCATACATTGGCATGGTGTCTGAAACGCTGAAGAATACTATCCCCAAGTCTGTTGTCCACTGTCAGGTCCATGGCTAAGCGGTCCCTGCTTAATGATTTCTATACTCAAGTGGGTGGGAAAGATGTGAGTAACCTTTCTTTGTGTTCTAGCTTGTTCATTCCTCCTCCTAGCATTTTTTTCCAGTAAATAAATTTTGTTTTTGCAGACTAAGCTACTTGCAGTACTCCTTGACGAGGATCCTGCCCTCATGGAACGCAGGTTGCAATGCTTTAAGAGGCTTGAGCTGTACAAGTCTGCTCGGGACGAGATTGATTCCGTGTCATGGACACGAGGAAGGTAACACTTGTCTTCCATTAGACACATTGTAATTCGACTAATGCAGAATTAGCAGCTAGCTATTATGCACATTGGTTGTCAAGTATTACTAGACCGATCACCTGTCTCGTATCTTAGCCTGTTAATATCAGTTGTGTGCTTGACTGCTTGTGTTGTATCTATGTCTCAACTCCCAACTCTTATTACGTGCAAATCTCTCAGTCCTTCGTAACCCATGTGCAAACTTGTATGCACGAATGAGAATGAATTTTGTTCATGATACGTAGATTCTGTAGTAGTAGGATGCACATGCAGATTCTTCTTCTGTCTTTTACTAAGGCCTTGTTTAGTTCAAGCGAATTTTGGGAATTTGAAATTTCTTGTAGCACTTTCGTTTTTATTTGGCAATTAGTGTTCAATCGTGGACTAATTAGGCTCAAAAACGTTCGCCTCGCATGATTTCTAACCAAACTGTGCAATTAATTTTTTTTTTTAAATCTACATTTAATGCTACATTTACGTATCGCAAATTCGATGTGATGGCTTTCTTTCAGAAGACTTTTTGGAAAAAGTTTTTGGCAACTAAACAAGGCCTAAGTGTAGTCGTGTAGACTGCAGAATTCGGACTTTAATGACAAATATATTTTATGCAACTTGCCACTAGTCAATCACACTGTAGAATAAATCCACATTGTTGGCTGCGAGCATTACCATGCAATTGAATCAGGAAGTTATTTGGGAGCCGTTCGATAAACAATACTGGTATTGCGTCTGAACATTCTCGGCCTGCTGGACCAGCAAGACCCGTCTGCCATCTACGAGTATCTTTTGTTAGCGTTATTGCTGACATTTTCCACATCCGGGATGGATGACGCGTGCAGTGCAGAACCATCCGAAACAGGGATCAGGTCAGTCAAGCCCCGCATAAGCCTTGGTCAATTTCGCGATGCTTATTTGTCCCACTCGCATTCCGTTGATCTGACCCTTTTGGTTCGTCCGGGAAATCCTCGCGTGCTGGCCATGGATTCACGCTTTCTAGAGGAGGTTTTGCCCGCCGTGCGCCCTTCCATGAGTTCCCCGCGTAGAACAGGTCTTCTGGAATAGAAACGCTAAACGCATGACGTGCTGTCCTGATTTTGACGAGTTCATGCATCTTCAGCAGACTGGATTGGTCGTCCTAAGAACACGAAATTGTAATTAGGAGCCATACACGTCATCTACTAGTGTTTCCGGTGAAGTTGCTGTCACCATGACCTGCCAGTCAGAATAAATGTGCTCCTAGTATTAATCAGGCCTTGATCCGTCTTCCTCATTGCTGAAAACCTCACCCAAATTGGATTGTAGGCTTTTAGAGCACGTCCATCACCATGGATATGATCATTAGCTGTTCCGGCTGTCCACATTTTGTACAGTTCCAAACTGGCATCGCTGCCAATCCACAGTACCAGTGCGTAATAGCCGCTCAAAAATTTCCGACCAATATTGATTGATGGTGGTAACAAGTGCTACTAATTGCTTATATGTTATCTGTCACGGTCGTGACGCTAATGCCTGAACAAAATCCAGGGCCGCACTTTGGACTTTACTAGCGTATAAATACTAAAGAACATGCCAGTAGTTTATCTCTGGGGGCAGTATTCTTTTAAGGTGAAGAATAGGCCGGCCGGTAGTTGTTGGCCATTACGTACTTAGCAGTAGCACACATATACTCCTGTCTCATGTGGCGGTTGGTCGATTAAGGCACGTCTAGGCATCTAGTGAGTGGTCGGTCGGACCGGATCACCGAACGAGTAATGAGTAATCTCCTCGTGCAGGCCTTCCTCGTCGAGCTTATAATTTCTCTGCCGCTGACCACCCCCTGACCGAGCGCTAGCTCGGACGGTTTGTTCGCTGGTGTGCGAACCATCGGATGCGAGTTCGATCCTGGATCGACTCCGTTTCTCACCGGGGCCGGGGCAGGTCCCAAAATAATTCCAGTTGCCTCGCATGGTCGTGTCACAACTGTTAGTATGTAAGTTTAGATAGTAAAGCTTGTATTCGAAGGTCGAGGAAATAAAAAAAAAAGCTTTTAAAGTAGAGTTGGTTGCACATGTAATCCCGTGGCGCTGCTGCTCGCCACATACCAGGCACGGGCAGCGCCCACGCGCTCCTCTCCGGTCTCCACCCCCAATGATCCATCCCTCCTCGGCGGACGGACAGACGGGCGTGAGGGCGTCGTTGCTCGCATGTCGTGTGCGCGGGGGGAGGGAGGGGCCGGCGCTCTGTCGGCGTCTCCCCGGTCACCTCACCTGCCGATCCTCCTCGGAAAACACTATTCAACTGCTCCTCCCTCCCCGTCAGCTGCTGTTGTTGTCTGCCGCCAAACCTGGACAAGCCTTGTTCCTGTACGCATGGCCGGGCCAGAACACGGACCCAAATGGATGGAAGCTTCTCCCGTCACGCCTGTCGGTCTATCTCTCTCGAGCACTTGGCACTGTTATTATACTACTATTCATCCACGGAGTGGTATGCATACTCCGACGAATATACCATAGGAAGAATTCGAAAATGCAGAGCAATAATCAAACAGAGACGGGTATACGCTCTCCAGCAAACAAATCTGTACGACTGTACCGGCACTGTTTCATGGCGTGTGCCGGCGTTTTTGACGTTTGACTTGAGCCCAATCGACCTAGGAGGCTAGGACTGTACACGCACCACTCTACACCCTACTGCCGGTTGAGCCTGAAGGGGCATGAGTCCGATCCCAAACAAACACGCGAGAGGAAGAGGACGTCCTCGCAAGGGGGGGAGCGGGTGGAGATGATAAAGAACCGGCGCCCTTGATTCCTTCCCTCACCAAGCATATATATGGGTCCTGTCCCCGACGTATTCAATTTGTCCGTCAGCGACAACGGGGGCAATAAATCCCGTGCATATGGACGTCCTACTCCTACCGGCAATAACTCCGTTTAAACGGTTTCCCGTTTAGCAATGTTAGAATCAGCATGCCATTCATTCACATATTTAGCGTTGGTTGCTTTTGTTGTTAGACGTAGTAAATTAATGTAAAACAGTGTAATTTCCCCTAGAGTACGCTAGCTTGTTTTGGATTAGTGAATTACGCTCGATGGACTATAATTGTTTAAACTTTGAGGTGGAATCTGTCAAGTGATTGCCAATTCTTTTCTTGTCAGTGTGGAAATTTCTCATTTGCAAATCTGTGGTTATATTTTTTTATATTATATTATATCTAACTCCTTGGTGAGTTCATTCTCAATGTATGGTCTCTATATAAATCGCAACAGATGTGCTTAGACAAGATCAGGTAAGCATTGTTGAGCAGAGACTTTTTTCTGAGAGGAAGACTCGAGTTTTATTTTGTTTTATCTTTTTTAATAAAAAAATAAACCGGGAGTTTTTTTCTCAATCACGCAAAAAGATTTGCAGCGTTTTGTATTAAGTAGAAGAATAGTTTGTTACATCTCGGGTGGTTTACAAGGTTAACACTTGGCGCACCCACCTGCTCAACTTCTTCTCTAACCTATTACTCATTGAATTAAACAACATAGGTGCTTCTTTTGACTGGACCCATAGCTCTTGCTGAAGTTTGATGGTTGCCTTGATCGCCGGAATCTATGTGGTTTGCTCATGGAAACAACGCGCATTCGTTCTTTCCAGTTTCTCAAGCGATTAAGCGCGAACATGGAGTCTGCGCCTCTTACAAATGGCGCCAAAAGAGCTCTCGGTCTGCCACCGATTGACAATGGCGCCCGTTGGTTGCTCGGTCGAGAGTTGCCCCAAAGCGCCGTGGCTGCCTCGAACCACAACTGCTGGGGCGAAGAACATTCGGCGATGATGTGATCAATGGTTTCCGGTTCTGATCGCACAGGGAAGCGGTGTCGCGTATTGAGCCCATGCTTTCTGCGTCGTCATCCGCTGTCCATTGTCGGCGGCGAACCGCCAGCTAGAGAAACAGCTTGACCTTGAGCGGCGCCCACACCTCCCAAATCCTGACGCAGCCCAGAATAGGGTGAGAACCGAGATATAATGCCTGATAAGCCGATCGGACCGAGAAGCTTCCGTCGGACTCCCATCGCCAGACGAGGCGGTTCGGTGAGTTGAACTAGACTAGCGGAGTAGCCTGCGCCAGGGCCCCACCCCTCCACACCGTTTCGTTCCGAGTCCCCACCCCCCGTCCTTCCCTCCCCAAAATAAATCCCAGCCATTACGGCGCCATCGCCCAGCCCAACCACTCTTCCGGTCTTCCCACAGGCCACAGCGCAGAGGCACAGCACAGGCCGACAGGCGCAAGCGCAGCGCCGAGGAAAATCCGAGCTGCCCTGCTGCTGCACAGCGCGGTACAACTGCAACGCCGCTGCTACAAAGGCCACGCCAAAATCCAAACCCAACCAACCAACCGCGCCGCTCCAGTCTCTTGCGCCTCGCGATCTGCCGCTGCTCCTTCCTCTCGGCGCTGTGGCTGCGGAGGGCGGCGGCGGCTGGCCGGCGTGATGAGCGCTGGGAGATGAGGTGCAAGCTCCACCCTTACGCCAACCCCGTGGGCGTGTGCGCGCCCTGCCTCCGCGACCGCCTCCTCGCGCTCGCCGCCGAGCGCGCCCAGGCCGCCGACGCCAGCAGCGACGGGGGCTGCGGGAGCAGCAGCTGTGGCGGCTCGCCCCCGGCGCCCCTACTACACCTGCCCACGCGGCGGCACCAGCACCAGCACGGCCACGCCGAGGAAAGGGCCGGGGCGGCGTTCCCGCGCTCCGTCTCGCCGTACGTGCAGCACCGACGCTCCGATGCCTGCGCTTACGCGACCTCCTCCTCCTCGTCCGGGTACCACCAGCACCAGCCGAACCTCCTCTTCTTCCGCACGCCGCAGGTCGGACCGGCCGCCGCCGCCGCGGCCGCCTTTCGCGCCGCCGACGAGCCCGGGGAGGAGACCGGCGGCAAGAGGAAGCAGGCCGCGCCGAGGCCGTCCTTCCTGTCAGCGATCTTCGGCGGCGGCAGGCGGCACGGACGGGAAGCAGAGGCAGGCAGGAAGGAGCCTCCCCGGCGGTCCACCTCGTGGCTCTCGGCGATCATCCGCCGCAAGCGGAGGCCGACCGACTTGCCCGCGGCCGCGTCCTTCCCGGCGCCGCCACGGGCGCAGCAGGACGAGGAGCCTGAGTCCCCCGGAGGCAGCAGCAGCAGCTGGTGGTTCCCCTCGCCGTCGCTGGCCAGACAGCAGCAGCACCGGGGCCGGCACGGCGGCGGCGGCGCTGGCGCGGGCGCCAGCGGGGACGGGATCTCGGGGTTCGCCGTGTGCCTGAGCCCGCTCGTCCGGCCCAGCTCCGCCGGCGGCCGGCGCCGGTGCCAGCCGCCGGACCCCTCCACGATGGGAGACAGCCACCGGCGACACGCGTCGGCCGGAGGCGCCGCGTCGTTCGGGCGCAACGCCTCCCGGAAGCTCGCTGATATGGGTAGGTTCCGATGACGCGGCCTCGGCGGCCGGTCCTCGTGGTCGGCGCCGACCAAAGTTCCTTTTTTTTTAAGTTAAATACCACCATTAACTTTCGGCCATGTGTGCGTCCTTCCGTCCAACTTTCAAACTATATTTGTGTTATCTAATTTCATTAACTTTTAAATTGTAATTTTAGGTACCTAAATTTTTTTACTGGTTCATCGTAGCTCCATACTCATTCGTTTAGCGAATAAATCTGATATGACACATCAAATAAACAGCCACCGTTGAGCAGGTGATGAGTCCATAGCTCCTCAAGATGTTCATGGAGACTTGTCTAGTAATAATTCAAATGTAGTAACAGGTAATTCGTTAATATCCCCTTGTCTTAAATTTGGGACTATTATTTTTAATGATAAATATATTGTGGACATGGAAAAATTGACAACTGCGGAACTGTCATTAAAGATATTTTATAGAGGTGCCTTATTATTGTGTGGAAAGGAGGAGAAAATGAAGTCAACAAGATACATCAATGGAATTTTCTCGGCGTGATTAGTATCCTTACCGTAGTATTTTATTATTTCCATGTATTAGTTTCCTATCTAGTTGTGATACACGATCTTTTATCTAGCTTTTAGTGCCTGCGTGCACCTACGTACGTGAATCAAATTGGTGGCTGCGTTTGGACGTGCCATGCATGTTAGCCGAATCAGGGACTCAGGGTTAATTGGTCCTAGTTGGGCTGGTGGAGTCCGAGTTTTGTTTGGATCAGGTGACCTGCGTGTCTATACCTGTGGCCTTCAGCCTTGTGCCGGGTAGATTAGACTAAATTTTATGTTTGGTTGACCGGCCACGGTGGCTGCTTTTTTTGGCGTGCCATGTCGGATCTTTTAAGCTAAGCGAAGGGGTATGGATTTACTGGTGAACCAGTTAAAAAGTTTAGCGACCCAAAAATACAATTTAGAAGTTGATGGACCTGGACGACACACCATTAAAAATTAATAGACCAAAAAATACAGTTTGAAAGTTGATGGGGCTGGATAATACACTATTAAAAGTTAATGGATCCAAAATAAAGTTTGAAAGTTGATAGATCTAGATGACACATCACCAAAAGTTAATGGACCTACGATGTATTTAACTCTTTTTTTCTTTTCTTTTTTGTTAATCTCGAAGATGATTGATGATGTTTGTTAATACACTAGTAGCACTTAGCGCCTAGCTAGCATACAGTGAAAACAAACTTAGGCCTTGTCTAGATTGCAAGTTTTTTTTCTCTCTCCGTCACATCAAATCGTTGGACACATGCACGGAGTATTAAATGTAGATAAAAAATAACTAATTACATAGTTTGATTTGTAAATTACTGAGGCGAATCTTTTGAGCCTAGTTAGACCATGATTGGACAATAATTGTCAAATACAAACGAAAGTCTTCTGATCTTAGAATCTTCGATTCTTAACCTCAATCTAAATAAGACCTTGGGAAGAAATTCAATGGTGATTCTAGGGTCTGCTTTGGGCTCCTGTTAAGCCGTTTGTCCTGATTTATATGATTGATTTTTTGAAAGAAAAAAAATATTGTACCGTAGTTTATAAGCAGGCTAAATATCAGCTCTGCTGACCTCTAAACCGCGACTTCAATTTTGTCCGCTGCCGAGTGCCGAGCTGTTTATGGGGCGATTGGTTCGTTTTGTTTGTGCGCGGCGCGGTGTTTGCTCTCCCGGAGGCTGGAGGTAGTTGTCAGTTGCGTCGCTGGCCTCCCTCTGTTGGACTTGGATCCTTCCTCTTCCGTCAGCACTGTACTTCTGCTCTGCCTTCAATGGTAGCAGCAGTGTCAGACAGTTGAATCAGGCCTGGATTTGGAGTACTGTAATGACCGTAGCTGTAGCCTATGGCAGCATGTGACGTAGGCCTTGTTTAGTTGCAAAAATTTTTAAGAAAATAGTCTTTTATGGCATTTTCGTTGTTATTTGATAATTGATGTCAATCATAGTCTAATTAGGTTTAAAAGATTCGTCTCGTGAATTTAAATCTAAACTGTGTAATTAGTTTTAATTTTTATTTATATTTAATCGCTTATACACATTACGTCCGAAGATTGATGTGATTGAATCTTAAAAATTTTGCAAAATAAAGTGGAACTAAACGGGGTCTAAAGGCGAGAAGCCGAGAACTGGTCTGGCCGGAGTACTGTGCACAGGGTTTCTTCTGACTCTGAGAGGCCGCAAATGTATAATCCTGTCGGATGTTACATACTCCTACAGTATGCGTGTAGGATAGGAGCACGTAGTATACAGTATACTATACGGCGGGGCAGACGCGACGGACTACGGTCGCCTCGCTCCATGCGCGACAACACGGACACGTCGTGAGCCGCGTCTGCCCGTTCGTCGCCTGTTGCCCGCTGGCAATGCAGACGATCGGTTTCAGGCAGCCGCAATCACACGTCACGACGTACTTAAATGATGGTTGGCACTCGGACACCGTACGCCCAAGCGTGAGCCGCAGGTGCTACGGCACCAACGGTTGGCATGGCGGCTCTGGACGGGCGATACCGTTGGCCTGCTGATCCGACGAGCAGAGATCGTCCATGACACAAGAGATTTGCGGAATCGCCATGCGCCCAGCTCATCAAGCGTCACATCCCAGTCTCACGCACTCAAGGGCAACTGGGCAAGCAAGTACGTACGCTTCGCCACGCTCACGCAGAGAGAAAGATCGGGATTGATGATGGCTCGCAGCCACGGCGAATCTAGTGAGAGTGATGCACGCCTGCAGAAGGTGGAGGCAGGCAGGCAAGCATGCATGCATCGAAGGGAGCGAGTGGCCGAGCGCTCGATGCCTCATAGTAGGATAGGAGCAGTGGGAAGCATTTTAGCAGCGCCATGGGAATGCGAGACGGGATGATGGAAAGGGCCGCACGCCTGGCGCGCGTATCATGACATGGCGCGGGCGACGGCACTGCATGATGATCCGCTACATACACTGCTGCGCGCATTAGCTCAAGGGGAAAAAAGGAGCTAGCAGCAGGGTGCTCGCGTGCGTCTGGCCGGACGACACCTCGCTCGCTCGTCGGCACCGGCGTCTGCGTCGGATCGGACCCGCTGGGCAGCAGGGCCGTCAGGATCACCCGGTCATGGTTCAGCGCACAGCATCAGGTTCCTGGACCGTGCTGTACGTTCCTTGGCAGGGAGGCAGTCGGCGCTGCACGTCGTTCAGTTCACTGCCTGTCGATTAGGAGTATAGATTCTTCCATCCTCTCAACGATGCCTACATCACCTGTCCGAATATGGATCGCACTGCAGAGACACGAGGAGACCCCACATCACAAGAACCTCACGCTAGCTGGGAGTGAGACGACTCGAGTCGAGCTTGTTGCATGCACGGCATGGTAAAATGGCATGGTAGCAATACCAACCAACACCCGGTCAATTCAAATTGCCCGCTCCGGCAGGCGGCAGGCGCACACCTCGGCGTTCCCATCGCTTTTCTCCGTCTTTCTCCGGTTTGCCGGATCAAACATGCCAAAAGCTAGCTCTTCTTCGACGTCGGCGAAAGCAACCGCTCGTTGCGGACAAGACACAGGCACACACAGCCAGTGTAAACAAACTTGCAGCGGCACTGGACTTTCTGGAAAGTTTATGGGGACGGACGGACCTCGGACGACGACGGAGACTACACAGCATGCTGCAGCCCGTCGAGCACGCGGTGGTTGATGGCGATTGTAGCCGCATGAGGTCCGGCAACAAAAGGCGTCTACATGCATGGAAGTTGTAGTCCTGGGACTGCACTGCATGCACTTTGCCTCGTCAGCCTGCCTCCCGTGTATTTTATCCGACGGACGAGCTAGTAGCGCTGGCTAAACTGTTCAATTTTTTTGTTTCCTCAAAAAAACTGTTCAAATTTTTTGTGTCCCGTACATGATCCGAGTTGAGATTGTGCTTTGTTGAACAGAAAATCTGGTACCCACTGCGTCAGCACCTCCCTCCTCATCGTATTCTTCTCCAGAATTTTAGCATCTGAACTGAAAGCACTTCGTATATATAAACGCTTTCATTTCATTGGTGAATGCGAGAGCTTAAAGCAAAAATCCGTCATGCCGTTTGCTCTCATGTTAGCTAGTGCTGTAAGGGATAAGTCAACTATATATGCAGTGTGCAGTGGGGGCAACAACAGCCAAAGCACTCATCTTTTAGGCGTCCAAAGAAACTTCGATCAAGCAGAATGAAATCCTGTTGTGAAGAACAACGAGTAGTGGTCGGTGCTCGATTGCATGCTGGAAAGAAGAAAAAAAACAATAAAGTTGGGCAGGCCATGCAGCAGCCGCTCCTCCATCCGACATCTACTTGCTTCCCTCCACCAACCCCGAAAATACGAATGAAACCGGCCAAAACATTATTTATATTATATATATAAATACTGAAACTAGCAATGGGTGGGAGCGTCTTGTCAAAGGGAATATTAGTGGGCAGATTGCCGTCTTTCCACATAAGTAACCACACCCTTGCTCCTCACGCGAAAGTGCCAGGCCAAAAGCCTGATTTCCTAGCTAGTAGTTGGTGCTGGTCAGATACCAAACCTTGCAGGGGAGCAATCTATCAGCAGTGTGGCACCCTGAGACCCTGAGGTGACGGCACTAGAAGGATCATGCAATCAGATGGCCCAACTGCTGAATGCTCTATTGGGAATAATGGTGACATGAATAGTCAAGGTAATATAGAACCTTGAGGCTGGCACTAACCCCTTTAATTTGTTTGGTTCCAAATTTGATTCCCAATGATCTATGGAGAATCAATCTGTTTGTTGGGCCTACCTCCATTTGTCTAAACTATATATTTTTCTTCAAATCATATAAAATAAACTACAAGGATAAGCTTTTCCTTTTTTTTTTTTATTCCTGAGCAGATGCTCAAACTCGTGAGCATTAGCCCAGGGTTTCAACTTCTGCTGTTCAGAGTTTGTCACCCATAATCAGCTAGCGTTGTTGTGTTATATCAGGAAGCCTGGTTTGCTGCTTCAGTCTCTGAC